CTCTGGTTGACTGCACTTCCTCTGTCACCTTCCTGCCCTTCATGATGCAGCTGCAGGCCCAATACCTCACCACCTACTTCATAGGTGAAGGACTCAGCGGGCTGATCCCTGCTCTCATCGCCCTGGGCCAGGGCTCCGGCATCTCCAGCTGTGTCAATGTCAGCCAGGTGGTCAACATCACGTCTGGCAACGAGACCATGGAGGGCACTATCTTCCAGATGGAGACCCACTACCTCCCAGCCCGCTTCTCTACCCTCATCTTCTTCCTCCTCATGACTGCGATGATGGTAGTCTGCTTGGTGGCTTTCTTCTTCCTGACAAGGCAGCCCAAGGTATGGGAGCTTTCACAGCAGCAGTTGTGTCCCAGCACCATCATACTGAACTCCTTTGACCAGATCCTTGAGAATGATGCTGGCACGGGACGAGGCAAAGGCTACTCATGCCCAAAGAGCACCAAGCGGCCCATGGAGACCCACCCAGAGAAGGTCTCCTATTCTGTGGCCAAGCTTGCTTTCATCTACTTGCTTATCACTTGGGTGAGCTCTCTGACAAACGGAGTCCTGCCATCCGTGCAGTCCTACTCTTGCCTGCCATATGGCAACACCGCATATCACCTCTCGGCCACGCTCAGCTCCATGGCCAACCCTCTCGCCTGCATCGTGGCCATGGTCCTGCCCAGCAGGTAGGTGTGGGAGACCCAAAACAGCCCCATTTTGGGGTGGTGGGTGTCCTCAGGGTGCTCATACCCTGGCGTCAGAGGCACTCAGGAAGGACAGTGGGGCCAGCATTGAGCCTGCTGTGGGGCTGTGCCTCTCTCTGTGCTGGGGTGGCAGTGCTGACTGGTGTGACCTAACTGTTCCTTGCAGGTCCCTGGTCCTGATGGGCATCCTCAGCCTGGCGGGTACAGGCTTCGGTGCCTACAACATGGCCATAGCAGTGATGAGCCCGTGCCCTCTCCTGCAGCATTCCCAGTGGGGCAACGCCATCATTGTAAGTCTTTGGGTCCCTCAAACCTCAGGAGCAGTCTCAGGGTCCCCACTGACCGCTTTCTCCTGTGCCACCAGATCCTCTCCTGGGTGCTCTTCACCGGAACGCTCTCCTACGTGAAGGTGATGGCCGGGGTCATCCTGCGGAGCTGCAGCCACAGTGCACTGGTGTGGTACGGGGCACTGGAGCAGCTGGGATCCCTGCTGGGTGCCCTGCTCATGTTCCCCCTCGTCAACATTTATGGCTTCTTCCAATCCGCCGACTACTGCAGCCTGCAGTGCCCAGTATGAGCACGGCGTTCCTCTTGCGTTCAAACAAATAGAAGGAGTTTGCTCAGCCCTTTGGCCTGTGCCCAGACCTGCTGCTTTCCACCTCGCCCCACTGCGCCGGGGGCTCAGCACCCCTGGGAGCAGTGTTTGTGTTCTCATTCCTGTTCTCATTCTCATGCCCATGCCGTAGTGGAGAGCATTGGCTGCCCTGGGACAGGGGGGGCTGCAGCCATATTCAGACTGTGGTGACAAAGGTCCCTCCTGGAAAACAGCAGCAGAAGGAGATGTGGCCCAGTGGGATGGGGGTAACCTTCCCAGGGAGCCCTTCTGGGGCTCTGGCAATGCTTTCTGCTCTCTCCCCACTGCCCTGTGCCCCACAGCAGCCCCCGCTCAGTCTGGCTGTACCCAGGGTGGGCACAGAGCTGCAGCGCGGCCCCGTGCCCACAGCCGTGCCATGAACAGCAACACAAGGCTGTCACACGGCACGGGGTGGCAGAACTGTGCCACCTGGTACCCGACTGCACCTCGGCTGTGCCAACAGGAGGTCCGGGGGGGTCCGGGGAGCAGCGTCAGCCCCCAGGCGGAGCAGCGCTCGGTCGCCGCACGCGCCTGCGCCTCTTCCCCGGGGCACGAGGCAGCCGGGCCTTTGTCCCCGGCTCTTTGTCTGGCAATCTGCTCCCCTCGGGAGCAGCAGCGACAGACCCGCTCTGCTGTGCCTTAACGAAGCAGAGCCGAGCAGCCCCCGGCCCCGGCTGCGTCCCGGCCGCCTGCGGGAAGGACGCGGCTGGAATTGCTAATCGCCCACCGCCCCGCACGGGTCCCACGGCCTGAGCTGAGCACCGCGCATCCCCCCGTTTGCAGGAGGAGCGTGGGGAGAGGGGCAGAGCTGGGGGCTGAGGAGCAGCGGTGGATGCGGGGGCACCGCGGAGGACTTATCCCATCCCAAGAGCAGGGCGCATCCCACATTCCTTGCAATGAGACCTCGAGCTAAAGGGACGCAGCCCTTCACGCCCCCCCCCCTCCCGCCCCTACATGCCCATCCCAGACACACAGGTCCCCGAAGACCCTCGCCCTGCACAGCCCCGCCAACCCCTCCCTCCCTCCCCAGCACGGCACAGGGGAACAATCGCCTCCGAGCCCTGCGAGCGAGCAGGAATTATTTCCATACAGCTGCTCGGGAAGGCAGGGATGGGGATGCAGCCATCACCCAGCCTCGCTCCGGGAGAACGCCCGGGCCTTTCTTCTGGCTCTCCCCCTCCCCGCCGTGGTGGGGGCAGGTTTGGGGGGGGGCCCAGCCGCGCTGCAGTCAGCAATATTAGCACAGCTCCGCAGGACTGATTGCAGGTTATTAACATACATTATCTCAGTCCCCTGCCTCTGAAAGGAGCCAGTTCCTATTCCCCCTCTCCCAGCCCTCCCTCCCCCTGTCTTTTACACTTAATTACCTCCCTTATTACACCACAGCCTGGAGAGAGAAAAAATCACAGGGCAGCGGGCAGGCAGGCAAGCTCGGCCCAACTAGGGCGTAAGTAATCGTCCGTTCTGCAAACGTGCCTTCAAGAAAAGTGATCACACACACACAGATAAATAAATAAAGGAGCGCAGGGCTGGGAGCCGGCGGCTGAGGGATGGAGGAGATGCTGGGGCCGACCCCAAGGCTGCACCTCGGGGAGAGGTGACCTTGGACTTGGACTGATGTCAGGGTTGCACCGTAGGGCCAGATGGGGTTGGTGCCACGGCCCCAGTGAGTGATGTTGATGGGGAGTGAGCCCCAGTGCTAAGGGGGGAGCGGGGTGGGAGCCCCAGCCTGGGAACAGGAGTGGGGCGGGCTGTGGGGTGCCCCTAGGATGAGAGGTGCACTGGGCTATGGGAACCCAGGGCTATGGCATGAGATGGGCTATGGGATGCTATAGGACGTGGGGTACCTGGGGTTGTGGGGTGTCTAGGCTACAGGATGCTGTGGGCTATGGGTACCCCAGCCTATAGGGTGTCCTGGGTTATGGGATGCTATAGAACATAGGGTGCTCCAGGCTATGGTGTAACATGGGCTGTGGGGTGCTATAGAACTTGGGATAACCCAGGTTAGGGGATGTCCTAGGATGTGGGGTGCTGTGGAACATTCCCTTGGCTATGGGATGCCACACAAAGCAGTGAATGTACGCTCTCTGACCCCACACAGATGCAGAGCAGAGATGCCCCCAGCTCCCAGCACAGTTTATGAAGCACATGGCCACTAGCATGCCACGGGCAGCATTAGGATTGGGGTGCCACCACGGGGTGCTGCTCTTGTCCCCTGCCTGTGACACTGTGTGCCCAGACAAAGGGCACCGTCAGAACCCCACACTGACCACCACTGCTGGGCTGCTTGGGGCTGAGTGCTGCAATGCTCTTGGTGCAGCACAGGGCTCGGGGACAACATGGCCTTTCCCCAGCTGCCCACAGAGGAGGGGGATGCTCACGGTGTAAGTGGATGAGCACTGGCTTCAAGGGGACTGCAGAGCAAGGCAGGGCAGGCTGAGGTTCCAAGCTGGTGGCAGGGCAGGGACTCACAGGGAGCAGGTCCTTTGTGCTGGATCCCCCAGCTCGCTGTACCCCACAAGCCCTTTATCACCCCCAGCTGGCACAAGTTCTTGCTCCAGAGCTCCCACTGTGGCTCCCAGCTCATTTTACAGGGCACTGGCCATGCAGCGAGAGCAGTGATGGGCAGCAGAAGTGCTCCAGCCAGGTCCTCACTGTCACCTGCCACAGCTTGGGACCACGGCCTGCCTGCAAGAAGGGCCTCATCCTGTTCCGGGGGGGTCTGGGGGGACCGGCATGAGCGGCTGTGCCGCGTGCTCAGTGCAGGGAAGGGAGGAGGGGGAGTGGGGGCTGCGGGAGGGAACAATGCACTGCCACGAGCCCGGCTATTGTTGTGGGCTGTGAAGGTCACGGCACTTCCCCCGGGACACGGATAGGGATAGGGACATGGGAGAAGGACAGAAGGTGGGGAAAGGGACAAGAGAAGACGGGTGGTGACAGGGGAAAGGGACAGACGGGACGGGAAGGGCTGGGAACGGGGAGCAGGAATGGGGATGGAGAATAAGAGAAGAAACAAGGGAAAAATAAAGGGGTCATCGGAAAGGGACAAGAGGCAGAGATAAAGACAACAGAGTGGGACACGGAATGGGGTTAGGAACAAGGAACAGGGATGGAGATAGGGGATGGAACCGGGACAGAGAATGAGAACAGTGACAGCGCCTGGACCCCCGCCCCGTCATTCACAGCCCCGGGGGCTGGCGGCAGGGAGACAAAGGCAGCAGGAGGCAGCACACCCCCACCCCACCCCCCTTCCGCCCCATGTCCCCGCGTGTCCCCATTGTCCGCGGCTGGGGGGGGGGGGGGTGATTGGGACAGTGGGAAGCAGGGAGCGAGGACCCAACACTGCCACGACGCTCGGGGGGGCTGGGGGGGGGGGGGCTGGGGGCGCGGCCGGGCGGAGCGGCCCCCTCCCCCCCGCCGCCTGCCTTCCTCCCCCTCCTCCTCCTCCTCCCCCTCCTCCTCTCCTCCTCCTCCTCCTCAGCCTCCTCTCCTCCTCCTCCCCGGCGCCCGCCCCTCGCACTCCGCTCCCCGCTCCTCGCAGCCCGCACCACCGGCCCGGAGCGCAGCGCGGGGCCGGGGGCCGCCCCGGGCCGGGCCACTGCCGGTACCGGGGCCGGTGCCGGTGCCGGAGCTGTCCAGTGCTGAAGGCTCCGGCCCGGCCCCGCCATGCCCCGCTCCTTCCTGGTGAAGAAGCTGAAGGCGGACGCGTTCCCTCTCGCCGGGGCCCCCGCGCCCCCCTACGCACCCCTGGAGCCCCCCTACGCGCTGCCCGGCCCAGCTGCCGGAGATGGTGAGTGCGGGGCGGGGGGCTCCGGGGAACGCCCCCCCCCACACCCCCATTGTGTGCGCCCGACGGGGCAGCGGGGATGAACGGGGGTACAGAGGGAGCGGGGCCGGGGGTCTCAGGGAGGGCAGGAAGAGGACGGCGGGGGGGTCTCAACGCTGCGTCCCGCGGGTCCCGTCCTTGTTCGCCTTTGTGGGTCCCCCCTCCCTCCTCCCCAGCGCCACCAACCCCTGCCGAAGTTGGTCCTTGGGGACGCGGTGACAGCGGCAGTGCAGGTGATGGAGTGACGGCGGACCCCGCTCTCCCCGCGGTTGGGGGCAGCGAGGAGGGCTCCTTCCAGCGCAAGTTTTGGGGGGCACGAAGCAGCCGGGAGCGAGGAGAGGGGTGGGGGGGCCGGGCTGCTCGCCGTGCCTGCGGCTTTCATTGTTCGCAGCCCCGCTCCCCTCCGACAGCTCCGCGCGCGCTGTCACCACCCCGGGCACAATGGGGAGGGGGGGGGGGGGGGGGCAGCCCCCTTCCTGGCACTAAGAGAGGTACGAAGGGTGGGCATGAGGGCGATGGGGCTCCCAGAGCCACGAGCTTCGGGATGACACCGGGCCGGGCTCTGTGCGGGTCACCTGCGCTCAGCAGAGACCCCCGACGGGGCGAGCCGGGGATGTGCCATGAAAGGGGACGGCGATGGGGACGTTTTTCCCAGGTCACGGCTCGGCTGCTCCTGGAGCCGCAGGCTGCGTTGGGTGCAGCGATGGGCCCGATCCAGCCCCATGCAGCCAACGCTGCTCTGCGTGTCCTCATTTCTGCTGCCCAGCACAGGGGGCACGGGGCAATGCCCACACAACCTGGGGGTCCCCTTCTCCTCCCCATCCTATGGGGAGCAGCAGCTGGTGGGGGAGGGATGCACTGCAGCTGGGCAGAAGCTGCCGACGCTGCTCTCCTGGAAATAACCTTGCTGCATGCTCGGAGGCAGCGTGAGAAATTGCTGAGCAGAGCGCTTTCTGCACAGCCCGTGCGACCGCACTGTCAGCACAGCGCGGGCAGCGGGGGGGCTGCACCGTGCCCCAGCCTCGCAGACCCCTCCCCACAGCAGTGCAGGGACCCCCCAGCCTCAATGGGACAAAGCGTGGGGGCCCCGCAGCTGCAGCACGCCCCGGGCAGCCCAGATGAGGGGGTCCCAAAGGTGGGAGGGGGGCTGCATTTAGGGGTATTTTGTGGGGTGGGGTGTGCATATGGCCCCACAGTCACGCATCAGTGCCGGTGAGACTGGCAGTGTGCTGAGCCCCCCAACAGCCCCCACCATCACCATCAGCAGCAGGGATGCGTCCTCTGGAGCAGCTGGCAGGGGCCATTGTGCACAAGGCAGGTGACTGCCAGGACTGGTGTAGGGCAGCCTGCGTGGCCACGTGTCCCACTGTGTGTGCCCTGAGCTGCTGGCCCAGCTGGGAGGCACTGGGAGCACGCAGTGCAGTGACCATCGCATGCTGGCAGCAGAGGGATGGAGGCATTCGTGGCATTGCTCTGGCACAGGTCAAGAGTCAATTACCCAAAGCCATGAGCAGATCTGCATCAGAGTCACACAGGGTGGAACTGCCAGCATGGCCCTGAGCCCCCTCTGCTCCTGGGGCCCATGGTTCTCTACCCTCAGTGTGAGCCCAGTGTCCCTGGTGTCACCAGTCCCCATGTGCCACATTCCTGAGAGAGATGGGGTGACCTCTCCGAGCCCTTTTGTTCTCATCTCTGCCCTCTCAACCCATTCCTAGAAATAGGGAGATGGGGATAGGAGCAGAGTTCTATCAACCTCTGCCTCCCATCAGGCCGGCACCCAGGGCAGCTCATCCCTCGTGCACATGAGGCAGCTCCGATGTGCAGGGCCAGTGACAGCTTGGTGTTTTCAGCTCACTGCCGGGCAGAGCCCAGCCCAGAGGAGGATGACCCTCGTGTCGTCCCCGCAGGGTACCTGCAGCACTGCCTGGCACCTGCCGGCTACAACCCCGACAAGAAGCAGGGGCTGCCGCCGGCACCGCCAGACCCGGCCTACGCGCCCGGCCAGGAGGAGTACAGCGACCCCGAGAGCCCCCAGTCCACCTTCTCCGCCCGCTACTTCAACGGGGAGGCAGCGGTGACGGACAGCTACTCCATGGACGCCTTCTTCATCACCGACGGGAGGTCGCGTCGACGCGGGGAGAGCCAGCGCCGCGGCAGCCACCGCCACTCCTGCCCCGAGTGCGGCAAGACCTACGCCACCTCCTCCAACCTCAGCCGGCACAAGCAGACCCACCGCAGCCTGGACAGCAAGATGGCCAGGAAATGCCCGACCTGCGGCAAGGCGTACGTCTCCATGCCCGCCCTGGCCATGCACGTCCTCACCCACAACCTCAAGCACAAGTGCGACGTCTGCGGCAAAGCCTTCAGCCGGCCCTGGCTGCTGCAGGGCCACATGCGTTCGCACACCGGGGAGAAGCCCTTTGGTTGCTCTCACTGTGGCAAGGCCTTCGCCGACCGCTCCAACCTGCGCGCCCACATGCAGACCCACTCCGCCTTCAAGCACTACAAGTGCAAGCAGTGCGAGAAGACCTTCGCCCTCAAGTCGTACCTCAACAAGCACTACGAGTCCGCCTGCTTCAAGGGCTCCGAACACAGCTGTGCAATAGGGAACTAGTCCCCGTGTCCTCCCCCCCTCGCCCCCCCCCCCACCCCCCCACCACCTCTACCCCTCCCCATCCTGGTGCCAGTTGCCGCTACGGGGCTGGAGGATGCTTCCCACATCTCTCACCCCCTAAATAAAAAGGAGCCCCCGGCCCCCGGGAAGGGCTGGACGCAGTCCCCGCAGCCAGGCAGGTCTCTCTGCAGGGACTGCCCCGGGAGCACTGCCTGCACCCGGGCCAGACCTTCCCCAGCTCGCGATGCTCACCCCTATTTATTTAATTTATTCCTATTATTTATTTAGAGCTGCTGCTTCTCCTCCCAGGAACTGCCGGGGAGAAAAGACACTCACCTGGTCCGTAGCAAGGACAGGACCATGGGGCGAAGAGCCAGGCAGGACTGACGGACCCCATCCGCCCTGCTGCCCCCACCCACATGGGCACAGCCCCTGGGGCAGAACCCTCACCCTCAGCCCCTGTAGGGCTGCTTCCATCCTCTCTCCCCCATGGCCAACCCCAGACCCCTCTGCCCTCACCCCCGCACACCCCAGGAGGGGGTCGGTGGTGCCACAGAGCCCGGGTGAGTCTATTTAATTGATGCTCTTATTTATATTATTTATTCCTTCTGCTTTTCACTATTTATTTGCCAAGACCGGAGGCGGATCGCCGTGCCCGGGACACAGCCACGGGGACACGGATGGGGACACGGCCCCAAGAGACAGAACCCCACACCGCCAGCTCCCGCTCTGCTCCCTGCACGGGGACGAAGCAGCGATTCTATGCAACCCCTGCCCCGCAGCGAGCCGCTCCTACCTCGGGCCTCGGCACCCAGGGGCTCAGCCCGGCTCTCCCTTTGCAGTCTTCCTGCTCCGTCTTCCTCCCACCGCAGTCTTCCTCCCGCCGTGCCCGTGGCTCCCAGGGCCACTTGGAGCTCCGTGGGCAGCCCGAGCTGCAGCATTTTTTGTGCGTCCCCTCGGGCAGCGCGGCGTGCGGGGCTGGGCTGCCCCGTGTGTTATACTGTACATAGCAGATACCACAGCAATAATTTTTTCCGTGCATGATCGCTTTTCTTTTTCTGCCAGGTTTTGTATTGGACAGGCCGCGGTAAGAGGAGAACCGACCGCCCGCAGTATTACTTGTAATGCAATTCAGGGATATAAAAGGGACTTCTGCCACTACCAGCTGTGTCTTGGGCTCTTTGTGCACACGGAGGTGGGTGGGTGGGCAGCAGGTGCTCTGTGCACATCCTCAAAGGGGAGCAGTGGCACCTGCAGTGCAAGCTTTGCAAATGGTGCTGCGCCCCATTAACTGCACTGCGCCCCATTAATAACACTGAACCCCATTAATGGCACTGTGGGCACTGCGCCCCATTAACAGCACTGCGCCCCATTAATGGCACTGTGCCCCATTAACAGCACTGCACCCCATTAACAGCACTGTGCCCATTAACAGCATTGCGCCCCATTAACAGCACTGTACCCCATTAATGGCACTGCACCCCATTAACGGCACTGTGCCCATTAACAGCACTGCACCCCATTAACAGCACTGTGCCCATTAACAGCATTGCGCCCCATTAATGGCACTGCACCCCATTAACGGCATTGCACCCCATTAATGGCACTGTGCCCATTAACAGCACTGCATCCCATTAATGGCACTGCACCCCATTAACGGCATTGCACCCCATTAATGGCACTGTGCCCATTAATAGCACTGCACCCCATTAATGGCACTGCACCCCATTAACGGCACTGCACCCCATTAACAGCACCGCGCCCCATTAACAGCATTGCACCCCATTAACGGCACTGCACCCCATTAATGGCACTGTGCCCATTAACGGCACTGTGCCCCATTAACGGCACTGTGCCCCATTAATAGCACTGCACCCCATTAACGGCACTGGATCCCGCTCGCAGTGCTGCACCCGGCTTGCAAAAAGCACCAGGGGGAGCAGCAGAGCACTGACCTGAAAGCAAAGCAAAGTGCAGAGTCCCAGTAGTGGGGTGGGGATCCTGGGGACTGCCCAGCTGGGATCACTGGGTGTTGCATCCCGAATCCACCAATGGGGTTCTGCTGTGATGTCCTTCCTCATCCTCACCGTCACCAGTGAAGGGCAGAGGGGTCACCCAGCACTGCGTGAGATGCTGGCCGTGGGATGTGACCCTGAGTCAGCACTGGGGATAGAGAACCGTGCAGCTGGGGCAGGGGGTGTACAGGGGTCTGGGTAGGGCTGCGGGGGGCTCAGAACAAGGGGCGTGGGGGACCCAAACTCTTTCCTAGTACCTCTCCACCACTGGGGACACTGATTCCAAGAAATGAACCAGAAATGTCCCAGAACATCCATCCCAGCCTGGAGCCAGACCCGATGACCTCTATTCCCTCTAATCCGGGATATCCCACAGCTCCACGAAGACGGACCCACGGCTGAAACCCCCCCCCCCCCCCCCGTCGGGCCGGCGCTCAGCGCCCCGCCCCCCCCCGCCCCATTCGTGTCGGTTGCCGTGACCCCCCCCTCTCCGATTCTCTGTGCACGGACCCGGACACCTCCGCCCTCGGACCTCGGGGCCAACCAACCCTTTCCGCGGTCTCACCGTGACGCTGCAAAGCGCGGCGATGGCGGCGGGCGGAGGGCGGGCGGCGCTGCGGGGAGCGGCGCTGCGCGGGGCGGGGGCGGGAGGTGCGGGGCGCGGAGCGGCGGAGCGACGGCCGGAGGTGGCGGCGGTGGCCATGGCTGAGGAAGAGGGGAACGGTGGCACCGCGAGTATCCACACGCAGCACATCGCCGCCGTACACAACGTGCCCATGAGCGTCCTGATCCGACCCATCCCCTCCGTGCTGGAGCCGGAGAAAGTGCGGAGTTTGGTGCGGACCCTGCAGGTGGGTGCGGGGACAAGGGGGGTGCGGAGACGGCGGGATCGGGTGTATCGAGGGCTCCGGGGTGCCAGAGGGGTCGGGGGTGCCGGAAAAGTCACAGGTGCTGGGTCGGATGTGCCGAGGAGTTCGGGGTGCCGGGGAGCCCGGGGTGTTGGGGCTGTGCGGGGCCGGGGGGGTCATAGGTGCCGGGAGTGCATGGGGTCGGGGGTGCCGGGTTCTATGAGGCGCGGAGGGTCGGGGGTGCCGAAGGAACCCGGGGTGCCGGGAGGGTTCGGGGGTCGGGACAGCGCGGGTTCGGGCCTCCCCGGTTCGGGCCTGCCGGGGCACAGCCGAAGAAGCTCGCAGCACCGCGGCTCTCTCCATCCTTCTCTCCTTCGCCCTCTCTCCCTCCAGGAGGATCCCGAGCAGGTCCCCCCCATCGACGTGCTATGGATCAAGGGCAGCCAGGGCGGGGATTACTTCTACTCCTTCGGTGGGTGTCACCGCTACGCGGCGCACCGTGAGCTGCAGCGGGACACCATCCCCGCCAAGATCATCCCGTCCACGCTCAGCGACCTCCGCACCTACCTGGGCTCCTCTACGCCCGAACTGCGCTGAGGCGGACCCCTCCTTCCGCCCCGGGGCTCAGCCGAACACCGCGCCCGCCCCCGGCGCTGCGGTTGGGATGGGATCGCGGGGGGGTCCCGGTGCCGGTGGGTGTCACTCGCGGCCGGGAGGTGGCGACCGTGTGCCGCGGGAACGGGGCGGGGAGGGATCGGACCGGGACATGGCGAACCGAGACGTCTCCGAACCGGGACATCGCGAGCCGGGACGTTGCGAACCAGGATATCTCCAAACTGGGAAACCCCCAAACCGGCGCGGCACCGAACCAGAGCGACACCCACTGAGCACAGCTGGGCCGGAACATCTCTGAACCGGGAAGGAGTGGGTCGAGCTGGGGCACGTGGAACTGGGACAGGACAAAACCAAAGCCTGGCACTGCTGAACCAGGGCACCGCCGAACTGGGACACACAAACCAGGACAAACCTGAACCGGGGCACTCACCACCCCCAGCCTTCCCACCACCACTCCAGGCTCACTCTGGGCTGTGCCTGCTCCAGAGCTGCCTGCTCCATCCTCAGATGCATCCCACAGCCCCTTCTCCATGCGGTTGTCTCCAGGGGACACCCACTGCAGCTCTGGGAATAAAGGTGACCAAACTGCCTGGTCCGTGTGCTGGTGCTGGGAGTGGCAGGGGCTGGGAACAGCTGTGAGATGGGGCACAGGGACATGTGGGGTGGGGATGGACACTGTGCTGGTACCCAACGCTGTGTCAGCAGGCAGGCACTGTGCTGGGAGTCGGGTGCTCTGATGGGGACAAATACGGGGTCAGTCCTTGCCTCCCTAGGGTTGACTCGACTCTGCTTCTGAGAGCAGTTGCACCATGCTGGGATGCTATCAGCTCTGCAAATGCCACGTCTTCACCCCATGAGCAAACTGGAAAAACCACACTGAGCATCCCACAGCTATCCGGCATCCCTCTGAGCCAGGAACCGGGGAGGGGAAAGGCCACTGACTCACCCCATCACACTGTGAGTCAGCAGCAGGACTGGGACAGGAACTGCGTCCGGACACTCTGCCTGCTGGCCACACTCCATGCCAGCTGGATCCTGTCCTTCAAGGGCAGGAATGGGCCGGGGTTGGGAGCTGGGAGGAGGGCACGGGCAGCTCTGCGGGGGTTTGCAGCCATCCCTTTGCACAGCAGCACGGTGCTGCCTGCTGCTGGGGCACGCTTTGCTTCCACTGCGTTTCCGCAGGAAGGGCCGGCTGGGCTGGGGGCTGCCAGGGCAGGGGCTGGGGGTGTGCACGGCCAGGCTGCATGCGTCGCATCAAAGCTGCCTCCGCCGGGAGGAAACCCTGCGAGCGTGCGCGGAGAGAGCGGCCCTGCTGCACGGCTCCCTCATGGGCCGTAAATTTCTGCGAAGAATTGTGGCGTGCTAAAAAGTTTCCTCTCCGTAGAGCGCGGGGGGAGGGATGAGGTAGCAGCTCCTTCGGCAATACAGATCACCTCGCACACAGAAATGGGACCCCGGGGCAGGGAGGGGGGGTTTGCCAAGCCCCAGGCCGTGTCACAAGCATGGGGATCTCTGCAGGGCTCTGCATGCCCCGTGTTCCCGGGGGGACACACCGTGCCAGGAGCACCTCCAGGTCCCAACTTGCATGGGAGTGAGCCTTGCCAAAGCCAGCCATCCCTGTGTCTGTCCATCCGTCCATCCGTCCATCCCTCCACCTGTCCCCCTTCCCTCTGCCTGACCTGCAGGGTCTCCGATGTCGCCGGCTGACAGCCGATCTCAGCTGCCTCCAATCCATTCGTTCCAGACCAGGAACAAAGGCGCTTTGTGGGCTCCCTCCCGCTCCGTCTGGGCTGGCTGGGAGGGTCCCAGCTCCGGAACTGGGACAGACTTCCCCACACGACAGCCGTGTAATGCTTTCCAGATCAGCCCACAGGTACAGCCCTGTGAGGGGCCTGCAATGCCCCGGGCGCAGTCACCAGCACAGGGTCCTGCCAGGACCGCTGCCATCAGTCCCATGCCAGCATCCCCATCCCACTGTCCCCATCCCAGTCACTCAGGTACAGACCAGAGGCAGCTATTGATAGCACAGGTCTCCCCATGTTTGCAAATAGAGTCAGCATTCCCTTGGCTTCCAGAGGGAGTCGGATGGGATGGAGTGAGATGGGATAGGCTGACACGGCATGAGATGGGGATGGCACAGGATTGTTAGGTCAGGCTGGCACTGCTTTGCCCAGCCGCAGGCAGGGTCACTCTTTGTCCTGGCAGCCACATGCTCTGCACAGCCGTGGGGTCTGGAATCCATTTGCCTCGCAAGAAGCAGTGTTTTCCCAGCAGGACTGGAGCAGCACAGAGTGGCAGGGAGCAGATCCGGCCCCCCGTGCCATCTGCTCTCTGTTTATTTTCTTACACTTAAGTATCACCTCTCAGATAAACGCTCTCCAGTGTGGGAGGGCAGGGGACATTTCCCAGCACACAGGGGGAAAACCCAGCCCTGGGGAATGCCAGTTCCCCATCATAGCCCCTCTTTGGGTTGTGCTCAGCTACGGCACACAGCATGCCACACACAGGGACACACGTCCTGTCCTGCACACCGGCTGGGCAGCACAGGAAAGCCAGGCAGCTGCCTCACATCCCCATGCTTCAGCAGCATCCGCTGCTCCCCACAGCCCCCCTCCCCCTGCACACGTGCACACATGTGCACATGCATGCACACCAGCACCCCATGCATGGTGATGCCCCCAGGCATGCCATGCACCCCCGTGCAACCCAGCAGGGCTGGGAGCCTAGGGCTCCCCCCCACTCGTCCCCGTCAGCTGGTGGCCATGTGTGGCGGCCGCACCTGAGTACACAGCCGCTGCCATCCGTCTTACTGCCTGTCAGTGCTGGGGCGGGGGGCCCCGGCTCGCACCCAGCAGGGTGCACAGGGGCTGCCTTCCCCCTGCTCCCCTCCAGCAGCCAGCTCAGCATCCCCCTTTGCGTGAGGCTGTGTCCCCCTGGGGACCATCCACTGCTCCATTGGCTGCAGGCACCTGCCTGCTCCTTCCACCTCGTGCCCAGGGTCTGTCTGTCTTCAGCTCTGCTCAAGGGACCATTTGCAGAAGATGAACTCTGGTCTGTGCCCCAAAGAATTGGGGTGGGCCTCACGGTCTCCAGCTCAGTGAGGAGCTGTGAACGTGGAGCTAGCAAAGGAAATGTACTTGTGTTTATGTGGAAGCCCAAAGCAGCCCCCAGACCCGCAGGCTGCACACCCCCAGCCCCACAGTTCCCTGACTTGGCCCTCGCCCCCCTGCAGTGTGATTTACGGGCTCTGCACAGGAGGACAAATGGTGAAGGCAAACAGGGTCAGGGCCCCGCAGCAAGGGGCAGGGGGGCCTTTTGCTCCTGAGGGGACACACGGTCCTGTTACACATGAGGACAGCCCCAGGAGGGACTTGGTGACATGCCATCACATGGCTCTGTGCTCCAGGACCCAGCCAGCCACCCTGCCCTAGGATGTGCTGTGTGTCCATTGTGCCCACAGACACCGTTCCAAGCCCCCAGCACGTCCCCTTTATGCCCCCATTGCCCTGAGCATCCTCCTGCATCCTCCCTGAGTGCAGGGAGGGGGAGGCAATCACTGCTGCTCAAGGAGAGCAGCCCTCAGGACACCGCAGCTCTGCAGCTCCAGGGATCAACTCTGCAGGAAGGGACTTGGATTTTCCACTGCTGGCACACACCTTCCTTCAGCAGAGGAAGCGCTCCTGGCAGCCCGGCAGCACCTTGTTGTGGTGTCAGGGCCAAGGTTTTCATCCTCATCCTTCCCTGTAGCAGCACACAGGGTGCCAGCTCTGTGCACAAGGGGCTGCAGGGCTCAGCCTGGCCACCCCTGCCCCAGCAAGGCAGTGCCTCCCCTGGCTAAGCACTGCTGTCCCCTCCATGGAAGCAATGCGGTGCCAGCGCTCCAAGGGCCAACCGTCTCCCTGCTTCATCCCATTTCCTGCGCCCTTTGTGCCACTCAGTGCAACCTACTGGTGGCTGAGGCCACATAGGGCTGAGGACACACTGGGGACACCGCATGTGGCACCTCTCCCGGGGCTGTGGCACTCCCTATGGCCCAGTCATCAGTCCATGCCACGGTTTGGTACAACAGGCGGCACAACCGGGTCGTGTCACCGTGCAAACACAAGGCACCCTTTGCTTGGGGCCACGCACCGGAGCGCAGCCAGGCCAGCAGCCAGCTGCGGGGGGAATCGTGATTTACACGGCCGGGCTGGGACTGGACGCTGGCCGCCTGCCTGGCCCCGAGCCGGGGGCCGGCTGGGGGTGGGCTCCAACACCAGCCCCTCCCCGGCCGTATAAATCACGATTCCCCCCGCAGCCGTCCGTCCCAGCCCCGCTCGGACGCAGGAGCGGAGCAGCAGAGGCAGCGTGTAAACGGTGAAAGGCTGCCCGCAGCCCGAGGGCTGCCCGCAGCGGGGCGGGGGGCTCCGGCCATGGCTTTTACCATGCTGCGTCCCATGGCTGCCCGCGTGCTCTACCCCGACATCGGCATGCTGTCGGAGGACGAGGAGAACCGCAGCGAGAGCGACACGTCGGACCAGTCGTACGGCTGCTGCGAGGGCGCGGAGGCGAGGCGCAAGGTGCCCAGGAAGACGGGGCCCATGGTGATGGTGAAGCAGCGGCAGGCGGCCAACGCGCGTGAGCGGGACCGGACCCAGAGCGTCAACACCGCCTTCACGGCCCTGCGGACCCTCATCCCCACCGAACCCGTGGATCGGAAGCTGTCCAAGATCGAAACGCTGCGCCTGGCCTCCAGCTACATCTCGCACCTGGCCAACGTGCTGCTGCTGGGCGAGGGTTGCGAGGACGGGCAGCCCTGCTTCAGTGCCATCTACGGGGCCAAGGGCGATCTGGACAGCAAACAGCCTCGCAGCATCTGCACCTTCTGCCTCAGCAACCAGCGGAAAGGGGTGAGTGGGGGGGAGGGTCGGCACAGCCCTGGGATCGGGAGTTTGGGAGGATCGGCAAGTCCCCGTGAGCTCCGCGCGGGCTCCAGCTCTGGCCCCCGCTGGAGGCTTTGGCAGCTCCCGGCCAAATGCTGCTCAGAGCTGCACGCCCACAGTCCTGCTGGCGTCAGAGGGCCGGGCTGCTCCCCCACGTCCACCCAGGCCGGGAGCTCTCAGGGGGTTACGGTCACCCCGGGGCTGGGGCACGTGGCTGCGCCAAGAGGGAGCGCGGAGCGAGCAGGCTGGCCCCATCCCCATCCCATCCCTTGTCCCCATTCCATCTACATCCCCATCCCATCCCTGTGACCCTGTTCTCACGCCCCATGAGCCTCCCTCAGTTGCAGCAGTAGGAGGGTGGCCCTGTGCAGCATGGTGCCAGATGGGGACTGGTGGTGGCACAGGGCTGGAGGCTGCAGAGTGACCCCAGAGTGGGTGGGGGTATCCATGCTGAGCCCATCCCACCAGCCATGCTGTCCCAGGGTTTAGGAACAGTGGCCACCTAATGTTGCCAAGCCCTGGGGCTGCCACACTGTCCCCATCACCATCCCCATCCGAGCAGTGACTGCAGAGCATTTTTCAGCCCTCAGTGCTCTTTGGGTTTCTGCTGCTCCATTTTTAATTGCTCTTCCCACTTCCGTCCCCCCACCCCACTGCTTACTGGCCAAACTCTGCACCCCCCTCCCAGCCCCTCCTGGATGTCCTCCTGCCCCAGTCCTTTACAGAGCTATCCCCAGCTGAGACCTTCTGCAGTGACCAGGAGACCTGGTGGCACTGGGACCTTGGGGGCAAGAATAAGAGCTGGGTTGGGGCCGCTCTGCACCTTCTGGCTCTGGGACTGAGCTGGAAATGGGCTGTCCTGGGCTGGAAATGGGTTGGAAATTGAATGTACTGGGCTGGGTTGGGCTGGAAATGGGCTGGAAATGGGCTGGGCAGGAACTAGGCTTGGCTGGAAATGGGCTGTACTAGGCTATGCTGAGCCAAGCTGGGCTCTGATAGGATGCAGTGGGTTATACTGGTCTGAGCTGGGCTGGTTGCACTGAGCAGTGTCGGTGTCCAAGCCCTTGTCCCCAAGCAGGGCTATGCTGGGGCTGTGTCCCTGTAATGTGGACACAGGGACACGAGGACCCGGGCCACCAACCCAGCACCACCATGCATGACCACATCCATGTATCCCTCCTGGGCGTCACTGAACCATCTTTGCCACTTGAGCACCCTAAAGGACATTCGGGTGCAGCTCCTCCACGCTCACCCCGCCGGTGCCACGCACCCCCGTGTCCCCAAGGCCATTCCCACCAGGACACCCAGGCACCCCGCAGCTCTCCCCTCCTCTCTCCGCAGGGCGGCCGCAGGGACCTCGGGGGCAACTGCCTGAAGGTGAGGGGGGTGACCCCGCTGCGGGTGGCACGGAGATGAGCCGGTGCCACCAGCACCCGCAGGAGAACGGCGGCAGAACCTGTCACAGCCAGCCCCAGAGACCGCAGCGGGAGGGAGGGAGCTGCCCGCCAGCCGCAGGCGATGGGGCACAGCAGGGTCGTGGGCTGGCACCGCACCGACGCCAGCACCGGCACCAGCACTGCGGCGAGAGGACGCTACTAGGGCTGGGAGAAGGGGTCCAGCACCCCTGGGATGGTCCAAAGGGGTGGGCTGGGATGAGCAGCCCGCACATGGCCGGCGTCGATGAGCTCGGGGGGGATGGCGGCACAGCCCCGCAGGTGCTGTTGATGCACGTGCAGCCACTTGGAAAATAAACCTTATTTTTCTGACGGGCTGGTGCCTGCCTGCTGTTCCCACCGCGTGGCGTGGGCTCCTCAACATGGCTGTGTCCCAGTGGCCCTCCGTCTCTGAGCCATGCTCAGGTCCCAACCACGACACTGCCTACTCTCCCTATGAGTGTGAGACCCCATGCACACGTGTCACCATGTCCCTAAGCCCTGCAGGCAGCTCTGCTGCCATGAGGATCTGGGCTACGGAGAGTTTCAAGCCGTGCAATGGGATGCATGGGACACGTGGGATGTATGGGACATACGGGACACAATGCTGGCACTTTGGGTGTGCATGCAGTGCACTGGGGTTCATCTCTGTTTCTGCACCTTCTTCACTGCCTGGGATGCTGTGACCACTGTGACTCCCACTGCTGCCATGATGGCTGCCACTGTCTCTGTGCACGGCCACGCTCTCTAGGGCTGAAGATGCAGGGTCAAGCAGGGACGTGGGGGTTCCCAGCCCAGCCCCCCTGCTCACTGCAGGGAGCTGAGCCTGGGAAAGGTGCCGGGCTCGGGGGCGCACAGCTCCCAGGGGCTCCTGCATCCCATGGAGCTGAAACAGCTGCGGATGAGGCGGCCTGGGGCTGTTGGTGTGCCCCCCCCTAGGGCTGCGGGGTTCTCCAGGGAGAGATCCCATTGCAGAAAGGGAGCATGGGACCCCGGTGCCATCCTCTCGCCCACCCTGGGGATGAGGTGATGGCATGGACCCCTTGGCCCCCATGTGGCCAGGCCATGCTGGCCCCCAGCCCCCCTTTCCCTCGGGTTTGATTTATGGAGCTGACAGCACAGCGCAGCTGTGAGAGCGAGTCCCAGGCAGGGACCAGGGTGGGTGGGAGAGGTTTGTTCTCAGCGTGTCTAATGTGTCCCAGACCCCAATAAACAGCCGTGAGATTCTCCAAACATCCCCAGACACAGAATCCCTGCCCTTGGGTTTATCGGGGGGCAGGGGCTGGGGGTGGGGGCTTCACTCTGCAAACAGCTTGACCCGCAGATGAAAGGGGATTGTCCTCCTGCAGCCTCTGGGAAGCCCCCGTGCACCCCAGCCCCAGCAGTGCCGGTGGTCCTGGTGCTGGGACACAGTCCTGCAGCATCTCCCATATCCCCACACTGAGGATGGAGTCCCAGTGGGTCACAGTGCAGGAGCTGGGCAGCATAACATGTCCCAGTGCCAGAGCCACAACTCCTAGTGTGTCCTCTCACATTCCACTGCTGGGATCATAGGTCCCAGTGTGTCCCAGTGCAGGAGCTGTGCATCTCAGTACATCCTAGTGCTGAGACCATGGCTCCCAAATTGTCCCAGTGCCGAGAACATGGGTGCCTGTGTGTCACAATATCTCTCAGTGCAGGAACTGTGCACTCCAGTGTGTCCTAATGCTGGGGCTATGGGTCCAAGCATGTCCCAGTACAGAAGATGGACATCCCACCATGTCCCAGAGCTTAGCAGCAGATCTCAGCACGTCCCACTTCTGGGGTCGTGGGTCCCAGCACATCCCAGGGCAGGCGCTGTGCACCCTAGCACGTCCCTGTGCCAAACCCATGGGTCCCAGTGCCAAGCCTGTAGGTCTCAGTGCATTCCAAACCCTCCCAACGCTGCCAGGGGGAAATGTTGACTCAGAGGCACTGGAGCTGGGCTGCTGGGAGCCAGGTGTCCCTCTGCTCCATGCAGGGTGTGCTCCATGGGACCACCAGAGCCGGTCAGCCGCGGACGCTGCCGGCCCCGTGCCGCGCCGTGCCGCGCTGCCTCCCGCGCTCCCCTCCCATCCTCTCCCCTTCCTGTGCGCGGACACCCTTGGAATGGCTTTTGGCTGCTTTCTCTGAGACAGGAAGGTGTCCCCGAGTCTCAGGAAGGAAAAACACTCAGTGCTGAACCCACAAAGACCGTCTCCGAGGGGCCGGGGCTGGAGACGCTCCAGGCCTGACATCACCTGGGAACTGGAACCAGAACCGCAGCTGCACTCCGCGCCTGGTATTTTTTTCTCTAACTTGTGTTTTTAAGCGTTCTTTTTATAGATATATTTTTTTCCCTTCTCCATTCCCCTCCCAAATATTTCAGCCTCTCCGCAGTTTAACCTTGCTGGGCCAGCAGGGTAGGAATGCAGTGGGGCTGCACCCGCAGCTGAGCGGGGCTCAGATGGGATGGAGCTGCTGCAGCCCACAGGGCTGTGAGCTTGGGGCTCGCACCAGGGCCACTGCAGAGCCCACAGTGAGCGAGCAGTGCCTGCACACAGCAGCAGGGTTGAGCCACTTCTAATGCCCATATGCGTACAGCCATGCAAACAGATCTGGCTTCAGGCCTGGCACCCGGCACCCAGCCCTCCTCATCTCTGCAACTTGGCAGCACCTGTGGGTGCAGCCTGGGCTCTGCCCAGGTGAAGCTCCTGTGTCTTAAATGGCATCTGCCCATGGTAAATGTCCCTGTTGCAGTTACTGCCCATATGTGATGTACCAACCTCAGCCCGAGACTCAGCACCCATGGGACACGGAGGCAAATGGGAAGCTGTGGGAAGTGGCCCCAACGTGTTGGTGGGTACAGAACAGCAGGGAAGGAGCAGGGACAGACGGGCACAATATAAACTGGGATTTGTGGGGTGGAATGGGATGGTATGAGGTGCACACACCACATTGCTCCGGGTTGGGTGCTGGGCAGTCTCTGCCTCCATGCAGACCCCGGCACCCTGCCAGCTCTATGGGGAAGGAAGGAGGCAAAGGTGTTGCTCTAGCACCCAGGGCTCTTGCAGCCAGGCCCCTTGCCCTCATGCAGCAGCCCCTGCAGAGTCACTAGTCCAACGACCCTCCATGCACTGTGTGCTCCCTGGGGTGCAGCCCCCCCAGCAGGGACAGGGTGTGAAGCTGTGCGCGGGGTGAACGCCAGGTTAATCTCCCGCTGGAGCTTCCCTCTGCAAACAATAAGACAATGCCCGGCCGGGGGCCGCCTGCGTAACCAGCGGTGTGGAGGGGAAGTTGTAATATTTGGATTTAGCACTCAGTAAATTAAGGGAGAAAAAGGAAAAAGCGCTGGGGGTAATCAGAGTGGGGCTGGCCCTGTGCCCTGCCCTACAGTCCCAGAGGGCTCAGCTCGGCATGGGGATGGTGGCAGTGGGCAAATGGAGAGGTCTCAGAGCTGGGCAAGCCCCCGCTGCCACACAGGGCCTGAGGGTCGGGGCTCAGCAGGGCTGTAGACAGCGCTCACAGCAAGCACAGCATCTCCCGTGACACCAGAAAAGGGATCTGGGCCAGCAGTTTATTTTAATCCAGACCTGCTCGAGCTCATGGGAAATAAAACACTGCTTCTGCAGCTGGGGTGGCTGGGCAGGAGAGGTCTCCAGGGACACGGCCACCTCCAGCTGACAGGCAGCGAGGTAGCAGGGGGCAAAGGAGGACAAGCAGAGCAGGGTCCCCTTCTGGTGCAAGGGACTCCTCCAAGCAGTATGGCACCCTGACTAGGGTGCAGGGCCAGCAGCTCATGGCAGCACCATCATGGAGCAAACTCTGTCCTACCCAACAGTGACAGGTCTGTAGGGCTGGATTAGCTTGGCCAAAACACAGTGGGATCTGGGCTGGCTTCCATCCCAACTCAATCCCCAAAGGACAGACTCCTGCCTGCAGCGACGACGTTGCAATGGACACATGGGGTTCCCTGGGGTAACGGTCTGGGGGTGTCAGGCTGGACCTCACACCAGGTCCAGCACCTTGCTGCAGGGTCCAAGATAGAGACCTGGGAGGGCTTCTATCCCACATGCAGCAGGGTCACCTGGGCACCCAGGATGAACACGGAGCAGGGACAGGTGGGGGAGAGGTGATGGGTGGGCAGCAGCATGCAGGGAGGCCTCTGGCACAGAGCCACGTGCCTGGAGCCCATTTCCCCCCACAGGAGCTGTTATCAGTGGCAAATACTCAGAGCGGTCCCAGGGGGGACCTCCAGCTCTTCCCCTCCACCTACCCCATCTCTGTCCTGCTCCAGCCCACGTCAATGCCGCCGTGAAGGTGTCGGAACAATCGCCTGACAAAGAGCTATTTTTAGGGGCCGGGGCTCAGAGTGAGGATACAGCCCGGCCGCTGACAATGGGGGGAAGGGGGCCGGGCTTCCCCAGTGACCACTCGGCAGCAGAAGGACCTGTAAGATTTCCTCGATGACCCAGGCCCGTACAATACAAGGAAAGCACAAGAGGGAGATACCCCCGCCAAGACGAGCTGCTCCTTTACCTAATGGGAGTGACCTGGGGTGGGGGGCTGTGGGATTTGGGCAAGCAGCCGCCAGCAGCTCCTCCCGTGAGTGAGACTCCCACGCAGGGAGAGCAGAGTGCAGCACGAGGCTGCAGGGGTGCAGGCACGTGGGCTGCGGGCAGGAGCATACGGTTTCCCAAGGACAGGAGGCCGTGGGCACAGCTCAGTGAGAGCCCCTTTTGCCTATGGGATGGCTCCCAGATCCCAGGGGGCCGCAGCACTTGGCCAGAACACAGCCCCCGCAGCAGGGATGCGATCAGCATGAAGCCACGTGTCTCCAAATGGGGCGATGCGAGCTGGGGTGCACTCCTGCTCTGTTGGCGGTGCATTCCTGCCCTACTTGGGGGACTTGAAGGGGTGGAGTGGTGGTAGAGCGGGCAGTAGATGCGATCGAGATGGGTCTCAATGCATTTCCTCCTCCTCCCTGTCTCAGCCTGCAGCAGAGGTGCTGGATGTCGGCCTTTGGCCAAACCCCGGTGGAGCGGTGCAGCTCGGGGCTGAACGACGGGGAATCAAAGCCGACGAGCCGTGGTGTGCGGGCCCTGGAGGGGCTCAGGGCTCCCACACAGCAGAGGGGGCCACGGTCGCACCGCGGGCTCGGAGGGCACACAAAGAGCTCCGGCAGCGCACGGAACCGCTCGGCTCCCGGCGGCCGGGCCGCGCTAGGCCGCGCTGGGCCGCAGTTGCCACCTGGCGGCGGGCCCCGAGCACAGACCCGCGGAGCGACGGCCCTCCTCCGGGCCGCCTCCCACCGAGGCCGCTCATGTATGGCAGCCAGGCCCCGCCGCACCTCGCGGGACGTTCCGGGCTCGGAGCGAGGATTCCCCGGGCCTCCCCGCGCCTTCCAGCCGCACCGTAACAGTCCTCAACCCTCCCAATCTCCCTACCTCCCGGTTGCGAACTACAACCCCCACAATCCTTTGCGGCGCACCGCCAGCCTTCGCGCGTGCGCAAAGCCTCCCCGCCTCCCCTCCTTCCCGCGGCACGTCGCGCGCCAGCGGGTGGTGGGGTTTCCGCTTCCGGCGCGCCTCGCTCTGGTCCCTGCGGCTGGCGGCCGAGCCTTGTGCCTCCGCCATATTGTCTGTGTGCGGCCGGCGGGCGGGCGGCGAGCGGGCGGCCGCGGCAGGTACCGGCGGGCCCCGGCAGCTCCGGCGCCTCTCCCGGGGCTCTGCGGCGGGCAGAGAGGATGGGACGGCGGGGGATAGGAACCGCCGTGGCTCCTCGCGCTACGCGCCCCGCTCCGGGCGTAGTGTGGGCCGAGGGGCTGGGATCGCCCCTGAGGAGAGCTGGGCCGCGGGGGGGACTCGGCTGGGCGCCGCTGAGGGGAGCGAGGGCGGGAGGGGGGGGGGTGGGGAGCGGGTACGGCCCTGCGGGAGGAGCGAGACAAGGCCGGCCCCCGCTTCCCGGCGAGATTCCGTGCCTCCGGGAAAAGCGGGGCCCGGGGCGGTTTGGGTTGTGGCCGGCCCGTGGTCCTTGCTTCCCCTTTCCCCCTCCCCCCCCTGCCTCCCGCGCGGAGTGGGCAGGGCTCTGTGGGAGACCGGCCCTCCCATCCCCCCCTCCCCCTCCCGTCTTCTCGTCGGTTTAGGTGGTCGTTACCTAAAATGCTCCGTCTTTCCTTCTTTTCCTCGGCTTAAGTGAGCGGGGGAACGCGAGGGGCCGAGGAGGGGCCTCCATCTGCTTCCCCAGGCACGGGAGCTCGGCTCTGGGCCGCCCTGGCTGCAAAGCAGGCGGTTCGCAGGGCTTCCCCTCCTCCCGGAGCAGCAGTGGTCAGTCTCGCCCTTGCTGTAATTTGGTTCGGTGCGCCTTGGGGCAACAGGCTGTGTGACTGTTGGTAAAATATGCTTTGTAAACGAAAGTGCAGATAAGATTATGAAACCTAATGTGTGCTATTTATTAGGTTATTCTTTCATACTAAGGGCTTTGGGTACAACCAATAAAGTTTGGATTATAAACACTAAGTCACTGATATGTTTTCTGCTGGCAGCAGTGGTTGATATATGCTGAGGCTCATAAATGGTATCACATCCCTTTTGCAGGCTGTGTTTATGGGACCTGAGTCTGTGTTGCAGGGCAGGCTTTTGCACTGTGCTGGTGTCTTTGCACCAGAGGAGGCTATGCTGGCACTGGGAAGTTGGTTGTGTGGTCTTTGAAACTTGGCATCTGCTGAAGATGGCTGGTGCCATGTCTTTGTAGAGGCTTTGAGGGCTTCTCTGGGTACTTGGAGACAGCAGTGGTGCTTCCTTCAGGTAGTGTTGCAGTTTTTGCTCAGAAGGCTCTCTTATTAAAACTAATAGTCGCTCAGAATGTTTGGTCTTGTAGAGACCTGGTGTTCATGCTGTGTTGCCAGTCAGCTTAGGTGTTGGAGGTGAGTCCAGTGGCATGGATTTGGCTGTAGCGTATGTAGGAACAGTGAAATCGCTCATCCTGTATGTTCATGTTGGCATGTTGGAGAAAGGGCAAAGCTGCTTGGAGAGGGGAGGCTCCATTTCAGAGGACTACGCAGAGGAAAGTGTGGAGCAAAGAGTGCTTGATCGGCTCCTTAATTATCTCTAGAATTAGGGTAGTGGGCTGGTTCTTGTAGCACAGTGCTGTGCCTGGGTGAAGCACATCAGCAGTGAGATATCCTTTGTGGAGACACGAACTGTGTCTGTACTTGGAGCAAGAAAAACGTGGAATAGCTGGCTGGAAGTCCTCCAGATCAGGTGCCTCTTGGCAGAGGAGGGTTTATCATATGGATACTGCTCTAGAGACCCTGGGTCTCCAGTGGTAGGCAGTGATCCATACATCGTGGCTTAGGCGAGATTTCTGTAGTTTTGCCTTTCCTCTGTTACCTGGTGGTGTTATTTCTGCCATTTATTTGGTGTCGGTGAAACCTCACTGCCTTCTGGTCTGGGTGTGGGCAGCAGCAGAGTTCAGCGCCCTGCAGATGGGGTGGGTGAGCCTGCTTTGTGGGGTGCCACCTGTGAGGAGTCGAAATAGGGTTGGGGTCTGCACCTGGGAGTGAGGGAGGCAACGTTGTTCTTTCCTTTGCTGTTACCAAGAGCAGGAAGGATGTAGGAGATATTACTGGATAGGCAGGTAATATACTGTGCTGGGGTTAAGAGTGGGGTGGAAGAGTGTGATGAGTGATGCTGGAGGAGAAAGCAGGTAGTCCCATGTGGCTGATGGAGAGCAGGTTCTGGTTGTGGCAGGGAGTATGGATTCATGGTTTGAGGAGAAGTGGGTTCTGTTGGAAAGAATGGTTCTTAGGAAGAGGGGTGGTAAAACTTGGCAGTAGGTTGTAGCAGATTTGGAGGAAACTGGATCAAGGAATATTTCTTGAAACTTAGTGGAATTAAGTCTTTTGAAGTGTCAGTTCATGGTATTCATTTGCTTGAGAAAAGGTGATGCAAAGTGAGAGCAATAATGCAAGCAAAGTGAGTGGGGATTATTGGGGAAGAATCTGAAAAAGTACAGTTCTGCAAAGGTGTGACAAAATCACTGTAGTATAAGAGATTCCAGGCATTTTTCAATGCCTAAAACAGTTCTGGTGGGAATATTGGGAGGTCAGACACCAAAATATGGTAATAGAGTAGTAGAGAAAGAAACTGTGTCTCTAAAATGATGAAAGGAATGGGGAGGTAACTTCTCCCAGCTGTATGAAATGTCAGTATCCTTACTATTTCCACTCCAGTTTTTTTTTCCTGCATTTTCTCCTGACAGAACTAATTTTCTCTTTCTATCTTTCCTCATGTCCTCTAAGGAATAATGGCAAGCAAGACAGGAGAGGCAAATGGGTGACATTGTGCTGGTGTGATAAATTTCATGTCACATTTCTGAAGGGGCAGGGTTTTATTTCTGGGTTACCAGAGCTGTCACCTCCATGGCTTGTCAGTTCTGAATTGCATGCATTGAGGTATCTGGTTTGTGAACTGTGGTGAGGTTGGTGCCATCTTGGATTTTCTTGTCCTCTAAGGGTCTTAATAAACAGCCCAGGTTTTAAGATCAGAAGGGACTTAATTTCCCTGCAGCTGTTACCTGCTTTTGATTGGAAGATTACTTGGATAACTCATCTGAGCCTGGCTGTCTCCTTCCAGGGGCTTCCAAGGGCTGACTTCCCTGGGATCTGTGGAACCTGATGGGAGCAAAGATGTTCTCCTTCAGATCTACAAAGCCCACTTTGAAAAGGAGACTGCAGCTGTGTGAGCTGGCATTAGTTCTGGTGATGAAAGCAGTGTGTCTTACAGCCCGTTTCTCACACTCCATCTAAATTTGCCATTGAGGCGCCCAGCCTGCCTTTCAGTAGGAAAGGATAATCAGAGATGGGATTGTTGATGTTCTTGTGTAGGATCAGCAGTTCAGGGTATCTCCTGTTGGTCAGGCCTCAGCAGTGGAGGAGCAGTGAAGTGATGCTGACACGATTTGTACCTGCTCCTTTGGCCAGGCTGTTCCGGGCAGCTTAATTCCAACAGATGATTTCACTGTGCGTTTTTTTGCTGCTGTTTGGGAGACTGAAGAGCAGAGAGGAGACCTCAGAGCTCTTGGAGAACCCAAGACAGCTCTCGCCCAGGCTCGTATTTGGAAGGTTGCAACATCAATCATTTGAACTTTCCACACAGCTTACTTCTGTGTGAGTGCAGACTGTGACTTTACTGCGATCCACTTCCAGATTTTTCAGGAACATTACCATTTGCTTTCTGAAGCAGGCCGTCCAGCTCTGTAATCTAATGACTGGGTGGGGGAGATCTCAGTGCGTGCTGAAATACCTCCAGAAGTCCTCCTGCGTGCCCAGGGCGATGCAGGGAACTGCTCCATGGGCTCCTGGCCTGGGAGGAGGCGGTTCTGCAGCGCACACACATCCCTGTGTGCAGGAGCCATCACTGTGTCTTTATTTTTAGTGTTCTGAAAATGGATCAGCGTGGATGCGCACAACAAATTAATTGCTAGCATAGAAAAGCGAGAGCTGCTGCACTGCTCCTTTTCTTACAGGTTTTGTTGTGGATTTCTCTAGCTGTTACCGGCCTGCTGTTAAATTTCAGCCTTACCTTCTGCAGATTCCACAGCTCTGATGATGTTCCAGAAGGAAGAGGAGGTGGTTTTGCTTAACTTAACTGAGTTACGAATTCAAAGCTACAAGTTCTGGCATTCCAGGATGTATGGGTGCATCTAACGAGACCCAACAACTCATCCTCTTCCTAAGCCATGACCTAATGCTGCCCAGTGGCCTTACTGGGCCTTTCCAAGGGGTGAAGAGCAATGCTGGGAAATGGACAAGCTTGCCCCACGACTGCCAGCACCGTGGTTTGGCTTAGTGAGATTCAGCACTCATCCCTGCTGGGTTACACAGTGATGAATGCTGTGTCCATGAGGTGCTGGTTAATTTCCAAAGCACTGGTGCAAAATACAAGAATTATGATGGTGTGCTTCTCAGTTGGTGTGTTGACATCACCTGGCATATCTAGGAGAGCTGCTGTGTCTGGCTGTAGCTGCATAAAGCACGTGTTGTGCTGTGTTGGAGTAGCCAGCACGTGATAGAGAACGATTCCTGGAGTTTCAGAAGTGATTTTGTTTCCCTTTGATTTTCGGAGTGGTTGTAGGTATGTCTCATGCTAACAGCATCACATTTCTGCAGAACAGTGCTGGGACTGTTTCAGATGGAGCTGCCTCGAGTGTCCCTTCCCCAGCCCTTTGGATGCCAGCTGAACTGCAGAGATGGCCCACGGTGCACTGCCTGCTTGATGGGAGCAGCTGATGACAGAGATTTCCTGAAGAAATGGTTACATGCCATACAAACAGGTTTAGCCTCTGGCTTTGGTAACTTTCCCTGCCTCTAGGAGTCACCTGATCAGACTGATGAAAAATCACTTTTACAGACAGCAGGTTCCATTTAGTTGTTGAGTTCTAGCTGACCTGTGCCACGTGTGAACTGCGGGAGTCAAATCAGCTGAGCCGTGGCGCTGTCAGTACTCTGCATACTAATTAATGTGGAAAACAACTGTGTCACTTAGTGGTAATTACAAAGGAAGAACCTTCTGGAGCGTGCTGCCAGTTGACCTGATGTCAGCTGGGAAGAGCCTGTGGTGATGCTGAAACATTCCCCTTTCTGAGCTTTCAGGAAAAGTCCCCGGTTTTGCCAAGACCTCAGAA